GTGCTGCCCCATCACCTTGGACACTGGCTGCGTGACCACATGGTCGGGAATTACGGCTTCCACCCCTTCCCGCCCGTCAGGCACGACGTCGCCCGCGTGCACTTCAAGGTCCGGGCGCTGCGCGCGTCCATGTCGCGCGTCGCGGAGGATTCGTGGCGCCTCCGCGTGATGCTGGCGGAGGCCAGGATGAAGCACGCCTCGGCGTGGGCGTCGATCCGTCAGTTCAGGGACCTGGGCGATGGCGGAATGGAGCACGAGGTGGTGGGCCTAGTCGACGACATGGAAGACCTGGTCGAGAGGGTGGCCGCGCCCGCTCTGGAGTGAGGTCGGCGGCGGCAGAGGGCGGAGGCTACGGCTTCTGGCCGACTCGGAGGGGCCACAGTCGGTGCGTACATTAAGACATGTATTTGAAATCCACCAGAATGATCTGCCGCGGCCGCCCCTCCCCCCTCTCCCCGCCGATTGCCCGAGCTCAAGTGGGGAGAGCCGTGAATCCTGGCTATCTGGGAATCCAGGAGCTGGCCGTTGGATGTTCGTTGGCGCGCGTGCTCTGGGCGAGGTGCGAGAATTGATTAGCGGGGATACGGGGAGAGGGAGGGGGCACGCCGACGTCGCTGCCTGTCTCGGAGAGCTCGCCCCCGCAGCGGCTGGATTCATATCGCAATCCTCGTCAGAACGCGTGCTAGGAGTGATCTGGGAAGCAGTGGCATCGGCTTCGTCGGGTCGACGGGGCGCTGTGCCATCGCCGCGTGGGCTCCAGATCAGGGGGTGCCTTGCCTTGTATTAGCGCGGCTCGCGGCACCGCTGACCCACTGCCATGGGAGCGCGGCCCGTGGCGAGGCGGCCCGCGGCCCGCCCTGTCCTGCCGACCATCGGAAAGCGGTCGACCGCCAGGGCGGCGGGCGCCAGGGGGCCCGCCGCGGCGCGGACGGCCGCGAAGCGACCAGCCGCGGCGAGGGGGCGCCAATGCCAGGCCCGACACCAGGACTCGCTATTTTGAACTCCCCTCATGATGAACAAAAAAACGTTGACGCCAACGCTCAGCCCTGGCCCGGGTAAATTTCAAGGCTGGGGTTTCGGAATCGGGCTTCGTTTGGGGGTTAAGGACGACAGTATGCCGTGTTCCGAAATATTCAGCCGACTTCTGATGCCCTTTCAGCTTGTGATTTTAGGAGTCGGGGGCTCGTTTCCTTACAGCCCAGGAGTTGGCGAAGTATATAGTGGAGGAGATTCGTGACCACATCGACCAGACTGAGAAGGGCGGCGCCGAGAACGCCGGCGCCGTGCTCGAGTGCCCTATCTGCGGGAGAATTCTTTCGAGGCCGCAGAGGGCGCGGGAGCATGCGAAGAGCCATCTGGAGGGCAAGTTCGCGTGCATCCACAAGACGCTCCTGACCGATGTGCAGATCTCGCACCCAGTGATCGCGGCGGTGCAGCGCTCCCTGTACGACCACGACATCCTCGCGGGTTGCCCGCGCAGCGGCTACGCGTCCCGCGCGAGGTCGCTCATCCAGGGGTGGATCGGCTTCACCGCGACACCCGGTGGGAGAGATTCGCTCTACACCGCGACGGGCCACAAGCGCGACTGCGACCTGAGACTGGTCCTGACTGACACCGGCCCGCAATATTGGTTACATTCCGACGAGAGGCTCCGCTTCGCTCGGAAGTTCGGCGGCCACTACTACACTATGGCGTTCGGTAACATGTACGCGCGCTTCTTGCTCGACGCAGGAGGGGTGCACGGCCGCGCTTTCCGCTCTCTCAAAGCGGCATGGGCCCGCGGTGGCTGCGAGGTGGGATCGCTCGCCAACCGGCACACTGGCACCATGATAGCGCTGATGTTGGACATTGCCGAGTCGAAAGCCTTCGAAGACTTTGTGGGCGCACAGGTTCTGAAATGCGCTGACGTCGGCGGCCTCAGGTCCATCTCTATCGACGCGACGTACAAGGTCGCACTCAAGGTTTCCGGACAGACCCGCGCGCAGAAGCACAACGTGTTCAGCGTGATCGGATACCATGGCGAAGTGTTGGGGCTCGCTCCCGGGTACGCAGAGCGCCCAGAGGCATTCGCCGGCGCAGTGGAGCGCTCGGTGCCCCCCGAGCTCCGCTCGCGCGTCGAGCACGTGGCGAGCGACGTCGTCGGGCGCAAGGTTTGCGAGGAGATGCAGAAGATTCTCCCGAATTTGCAGTGCGTATCCCTTGACCCGTTGCACCTGGCGTTCTCCGTGGACACCCACACCTCTAAGCGCCGCATGCGACCGACCGCGGTCGGCCTCGTCATGCGGGCTGTCTTGGGGAAGTTCTCCGTGGCCGACTACGCGCGGAGGCGCGAGCCGTTTCACTGGGGCACTGGCGCGGCCAGGGCATCCGCTCAGGAGCAAGCATTCATCGAGCGCATACGGGGGGGCGACATGGGGCACCGCCGAGCGAAGAGCATCCTCAGCGACATGGACCCTAACGCGCCGATGCAGTCCAGGGAGCAGTTTGCCATGTTGATGGCGGCCATCGCGCGCGTTTACCCGGAGCGGATGGACGTGCAGTACGATAAGGGCACACTCCGGGCGCAGTTCATTGCGGCGTGTGCCCCCGATCGAGCGGAATTCTACATGAACAACATCCGCTACAGGGCGCGGCTCACGCCGGAGGAGAACAGCTCTCTCGGCGTTGGAACGACTCGCAACGAGCAGATACACTCGTGCATCAACGCAAATTTCCGCCAGTTGACTCGCGTGGATGCCAGGACCATGAAGGCCGAGCTCGCGCTGTGGGCGGGGTGCGAGACCACGCTGGCGTCGAGGGCTTTGGGCGGCAGGACGACCTCGAGGGTGCGGCGCGCCGATATGAAGGCGACCGTGGTCAACTCAGTCTCGCTGTTCGACGCTGAGAACTGGCCGGTGCACGTGGGCCTAGATGAGACGGAGTACCAGGCTTCCGCCCCTCCTGTGGAGGGCGATTTGCGCCCGCGCAGGCGCGGGCCGTCCCGCGTGCAAGAAACTATCTTGCAGGCCATTAGGGCGAAGGTGAACAAGTCGACCAGAAGCTGTTTGACCTCTCAACCAACAAGCGGTCGATCTAAACGCTAACCGAAGAGTTGCCTCTCGCAGCCTGCGGGCCGCAGTGTTTCAATGCGCCAGTGTAAGCAGGTCTGGTGCAAGTGTACAGCGGGTGCGAGCGCGGCCCTGCGCTGGCCGGGATGACATGCGCGACTGCCGCGCAACGCCGCGCTGGAAGCCCGCGGCGTCTGGCTCGACGCACGATGCGCGGGTGCCATGCGCGGCCAAGGGTGCACTTAATTCAGTTAGGATTTACACGGCGATCGGGCGTCGCCCGACGGAGGGGGGGGCAGCCGAGATGGCCACTGCCCTGCACTGGAGGGGCATGTGCAGAGGGTGAGTGGCTGAGCAGGCCAATACGCGGGATTGAGAGCTTGAGCATATGTTCATACTGTTTCGCCTCGCGATCGTCATGGGTAAAACAGAGCTGCCTCTCTTCAAACGCAATCCACTTTCTAGCTGTAGGTCGGACCCCAAGGGGCCGATCGGACAGTTTTCACAACTCTTGGACAATGGACATCACACTTGTTTCGACCCCCGCTTGTGGCTAAGAAAGCCCCGATAGGGTCCAGGAATTGATCCCAAGATGACCCCGATAACGTCTTCAATCCACAAAGAAGGTGCTCAAGAGACCCCCTGAGGGCCCAAAGAGGTTCCCATGATGTCTAAAACGGCTCCAAGAGATTACGCGCGCGCTGTTGTTGTTTCTGTCGGTATGCGCGTCGTGCATTCGTAGTTGTATCATGTGTACTGATTTTTTCATGAAGCCTATACTATGTTTCTACATGTCTCTGTATATCTGCATAACACATACACATATATGCCATCTGTTTTCTATGACCATGTATGTATGTATTTCTATGAATATATACATATATATATATGAATATATATCTATATTAATATATATATATTAATATATATATGTATATATATATTAATATATATATATAGTATATATAAAATATATGGTATATTGTTTATGTGTGTATTACGACGGATCAACCTTACGAAGTTTAAGAACAAATCATTATGTCCTGCCCCGAAACGGTCCTGGGGGGGGGGGGGCGGACGCGGCCATATGCCAACCAAATAAGTGAACCAAGCCCTGCGCTCTCGGAGGGTCTTCGGTTCACTTATTTTCGGTACCCAGAAGTCCCAGGGATCTGCCCCAAACAGCCCAAGACAGCCGCGGGGAGCCCCAAGAGAGGGCCTCGTGGCGCCCCGAGACGGCCAGGATGTCCACGGAAACCGCAGGAGGCCACAGGGGTTTCCAGAACATCCCAGAAGGCCCCAGGATATCTCAGTAGGTTACAGGAGGTACCAGGATATCACAAGAAGCCCCAGAAGGCCCCAGGAGGCTCCATAATGCATCAGGAGGTCCCAAGCGGGTCCAGACGGTCCTATGAGGCACCAGGAAGTTTCAGGAAACCTCAGGAGGTACCAGGGGCTCCAGAAGGCATCAGGATGCCCCATGGGATCCAGAAGGCCTCAGGATGCCCCATGTGTTCCAGAAGGCTTCAGGGGGCCCCATGGGCTCCAAAAGGCCTCAGGGGGCCCCATGGGCTCCAGGAGGCCTCCAGGAGGCCTCAGGAGGCCCATCCGGGGGGATACCCGTATCCCCTCCTGGTCGGCCCGACGGGAGGGAGGGAGGGGAGGGAGAGGGGAGGGAGGGAGGGAGAGTAGAGGAAGGAGAGGGAGGAGGAGGGAGGAGGGGAGGAGAGGAGGAGGAGAAGAGGAGGATGAGAGGAGGAGTAGGAGGAGGAGGAGGAGGAGGAGGAGGAGCAGAGGAGGAGGAACAGGAGGAGGAGGAGGGAGAAGAGGGGAGAGGAGGAGGAGGAGGAGAGGAGGAGAGGGAGGCAGGAGGAGTGAGGAGGAGGGGAGGAAGGAGGAGGAGGGAGGAGGGAGGAGGGAGGAGGGAGGACGAGGAGGAGGAGCCCGGGGGACCCGCGAGCAGCGCGGCCACCGCGGCCGCGTGCCCGGCCCTGGCCGCCTCCAGCACCGCGCCGCCCGGGGCGGCGCCCGCCCCCGCCAGCAGCGGCAGCAACTCCACGTGGCCCAGCCGCGCGGCGAGGGGCAGCAGCCGCTCGCCCACCTGCGAGGGGGCCCCAGGACACACAAATCAATGCACACAAACAAAAAGATGCCCCAGATCTTCCTACATTTTGGGGGTTTTCGTCTTCCCCCCCACTGCCCATATTTTCCTATATTTTCTGGGGAATCGACGATTAATTGTGTCTGTGTGTTTTTTCTCTTCCTCTGTGCGTTGCCCGCCTAGCTTTTAGCGGAAGAGGTTCGCTCGCGCCCCGCCGACCCAAAAAAAACATGTGTTTTTTTGGCCTCCTGTGAAAAGGGACCCTGGACACACAAATACAAATTCTCCCCATATTTTCTTACATGTTTGGGGTTTTCGTCTTCCCCCCCACTGCCCATATTTTCCCATATTTTGTGGGGAATCGACGATTCACTGTGTCTGTGTGCTTTTTCTCCTCCTGACACCTGAGCGGCGGAGGGCCGGCGGGCACCGCGCGCGATCGCGCGCGGCGGGCCCCCGCGGCCGCGGCCCACCGCGGACCGCCGGCGCGGCACACCGCGCGAAGAGCGCTAGGGGCGCTCGCGCGCGCGGCCTCGCGCGGGCAGCTCGTGCGCGAAGGGCGCCGGCACGGCGCGGCGCCCGCTTGCAACTGTGCGCGGCGCCCACGCGGGAAGCAGGGGGAGGAGGAGGGAGAGGAGGAGGGGGAGGAGGAGGAGGCAGGGGGAGGAGGAGGGAGAGGAGGAGGAGGAGGGGCAGGAGGAGGAGGAGGAGGGGGAGAGGAGGAGTAGGAGGAGGAGGAGAGGAGGAGAGGAAGGATGAGGGGAGGGAGAGGAGGAGGGAGAGGAGGAGGAAGAGGGAAAAAGGGGGAAAAAAAAAAGGGGGGGGTGAGGGGGTGGGGGGGGGGGGGGGGGGGGGGTGGGAGGAGGGGGAGGGGGAGTTTTTTATCGCCGCGTTCGGCCTCCCGGCGCCCTCGCCGGGCCCCGGGGCCGTCAGCACACGACTCGGGAGGCCTCTGGGGAAAGGGTCGGCACAGGGCTGGACCCCAACGGTGTTGCTCGTTGTCGTTTTGGTTTTCGCTTCCCCTCGTTTTTGTCTCCTCTACGCCTTGGCTGCAAAACGAGATCGAAACGAAAACGGCCCACGAAGTCGCCAAACACTGTCTAGTTAGGTTGAGCCTTGGGTCGGCACTTCTGGGGACGGTATGTACGAACATCAATCATGGAGGTCCGCGCGGATGTCCTGGATGAGCGCTGATCCCTTCCAGTCTCCGCGCGGATGTCCTGGATCGGCGCTGACCCCTTCCCGTTCCCACGCGTCGACGTTCCCAGCCTTTCCCAGCCTACCGTCCCTCGAAGCGGAGCGACACGCTACCCGCTCGCAGGGCATAATGCTGGGGCCGCCGCTGCGAGCGACAAGCAAACATCTCCCTGGCGCCCGCGGCGCTGGAGGCGCCGCCGGGGTGGCCCGAGCGCCGATCCGAGAAACTCGCGTGGAGCTCATAATTTGTTGTTTTGCATCTACTCCAACGAAAAAATACGACCGGCGCCCTAGGCGCTATCTCTCTGCGACACCTTCGAGCCGCGTCGGTCTGTGAGGCCCCCAAGGCCCGAGACCGCGCGAAGCCGCCAGGCGTGCACAGACCTGCCGCGCCCAGATGTCGGGGTCTCTCCCCCGTTCGGTGTGCGGCTGGGCGCCCCAGGGACGCTCTCGGCGAGGCGCGGCTGCCGGAAGGCATCCCGAGGCTGGAGATTCGCCGAGCGCGGACGAAAACGCCCGAAGCTGGGCGAAAACGCCAGGAGCGAACAAGCTGCAACGCCCCGAGCTCAGGGGAGTCAGGGGAGCCGGCGCTTCCGAGCTGGGGCCCTGAGGTATGGGGCCGCCCGAAGGAAGAGATATCCGAGGCTGGATTACATTGTCTGAGGCACCTCGTCCTCAGGGCCCCATCCCTCGGGACCCCATCTCCGAACCACCCAGGAAGGATGACGGGGACAGAACGAGGACAACGACCAAGAGGGAGCGTGGAACGCCGGTGCCGATCCTGGTCGGCGCCAGATCGTGGATCATCCTCTCGGATCGGCGACGGCGGGCATGGACCACGACCAAAATCGGCGTCGACAAACTTCCGCGACATCTTTTGAGCAGGGACCGACCGTCCCGGCATTCCTATAGTCCTACCACGAAGTGTTCTTAGAACCCAAAAATGTTCTAAGAACAAAAACACTGCTCTTAGAGCACAAGCCCGATGTGTTAAAAAACAGACTCCGCCAGAAATGCTCTAAGCACATTCCGCGGAAACCACAAAGAGGTTCTTAGAACACTGCTTGCTGGGGCTCTATCGGCGAGCCAGGACGCTCCGCCGCTGCTTGAATCTTGGCCACGGTCCCCGCGCCGCTTCTCTCCACGCTCG